GGGGGAGGGGGAGGGGGAGGGGTAAAGTCTTTAATGAATGGAAATGGGATTGACTCCCTACCTTTACTAATCACGTTCTTTTTTTTCACCTTAGCACACTAAGTTTTTTGATGAAGATTAAAGCGGTCACGTTTTGGAGGTAGTTCGGTGGGTGGTATTGACGAGTTTATTCTCGGCTTTTCTCTACACCCCGCAAATGTTAGTCATGACTATATTGATGCCTCCCACGGGTGTTATTAGCAGTATTATCTATGGTAGTATTGTGCGATTTATTCGCCGTGCTATTTTTTGGAGTAGCACGGTGTTTTTGCTAGCAGAATTTTGCATACGGTGATTTCCTTAGTTGTATCACGTGTTATTGATGGTGGTATACTACGTGTGCTCGGTGTTAGTGTTGTGTTCTTCCTCGGTGACTTTTGATACACTTCGTTATATTCCTCACCGACCTTGTAGCCTTCTTTGCTCCTTACAACAAGACATTCCCCATTTCATTTCAGAACATCTTTTTCTCTTCTTATTTTTGTGGGCTATACTTGTTTTTTTTTTCTTGCTTTTTGTATACCTTGTGAGTGGTTACAGGTACCCCCTCACTGAACGCTTTATAACTTTTTTTTTTGCAATGGACGTGCCTTCGGGCTTTTAATATATATATATTCGACAAAATAAAAATTTCTTTGATGGGAAGAAGATACAAAGGTTTTAGTTCTCACAAGACATACATGACTCAAAAAATAACTAAAATGTACAAGTATACCCCAATAAAGCTAGTGACAATTTCCTCAAAAAGATAAAAATGGTCTGCGGGCTACTCGGGAGGAGCAAAATTCCACCAGAGAGCTTAATCAAGATGAGTGGACTTTCCTCTCTCCCTGGATCTAGAGAGGTAGTCGAGCACTAAACTGTGATGGGGGCTTCCCCCCGAAACGAGCAAAGTACCCTCTTGTAAATTCTTGGGTTCTCTTAGTCTTTTTTTCTTCTTGGTTTTGTAAACCTGTCAATCATCTTCCAAGGGTTGTCCCAACTTATCACTGAGTTGATCATTAGTGGGAGCAATTTCTACCTATTGATCACCTCGAACCTGTCACGCCGCAGGGTTTGAGGGCCCTCAACATTAGCAATAATTGTTTCCAATTTGGGATGCCCCTGTTGAAATTTCTCAATGAGAGTGAATTTGCATTTTTCAACCAGAGTAGAGACTTCGAAGTATGAAAAGATAAGTGCAGCCTTACCACCTTTCCTACAAGCCCTCTTAACAAACGGACAATCGGCTATCTATTCAAGAGAACCATGATAGATCTGAGAAAACACCACATGGTCGACAACCTTCTCAGAGTCTAGGCCTTTACCAAGCACCTCAGCAAAGGATTCTCTACGTAGGTGTAAATTCGGGGGAGGAATAGTGGCCATCAAAGTGGAAGGCAAAATAACAGAGAAAGGAACTGTAGAATAACATTTGCAGATGAGAGAGAAAAATGTCGCAGGGGGCCTTGTCAAGAAGGTGTCTACGTCTGCATGCACGAAGCGAGAGGCTGGGGCTCGACAAGGCTCTGCTTCCGCGCTACCCTTTTCGAGCACGACAAGGCGACGAGCTATCGCGCAATCCCCTTTCCGTCTTCTTCGAGCACGACGAGACAGCTTCGACGCAAACCCCTACCAATCTACAGGTACGACGAGGCGACGAGCTAAGACGCAATCCCCTTCCCGTCTTCTTCGAGCACAACAAGGCGATGAAACTGCTCGACGTGAACCTTTACCTTTCTTCTTCGAGCACAGGGAGGCAGCGAACAGGCTAGAATCCCGTTCCAACGTAAGGATGTCGAGGGCTACTTGGGTTGCGATCTGAATAAACCCTAGCAGAGCAAAACCCATCGCAATATATATATATATATATATTAATATTAATATTAAAGATGCTATTTTTTTTTTCTAATACAGTCTTCTTCTGAAAAATTTTGATATAACATGTCATATAATTAAATGTTTGGTAGACCATGCATATATATATATATATATATATATATAATTTAACGTAATAATCATCATGCGTGTAACTTGAACATCTTTGTCAAAACTTGCAGATTTTTCTTTTTTCTTTTATTTATTTGTGTGTGTGTGTGTGTGTGTGTGTGTGGTGTGGAGATATATGCATTTAACTTTTACTTGATGTCTTTATGTTGTTGTAGATGTACCATCCCACTAGAGTACTTACTCTAGTTTATCAACCTTTTGCCTTCGCAATGCTGGCAATACTCACATATCATGAAGCCAAGCTTAATACCAGAATCCGGAATATATGTGGATACTCATTGTTTTTTATAAGCTCCTTGCTTGTGATTATTGTAAGTAATTCTTTCAACTATGCTGAAGTTTCCTTTAATTCCTTTATGGATTTTGAAAATTTGCAGGATCAAATTGAGTTGCTTTGCGATATTGAGATATGCAATGAAAGAATCTAATGGACTTAAAATGTAATTTTTTTAGAAGTGTGATTATCAGTTTTTTTTTTATAAATATTGAAGTGTAGGACAACAAAAATTTTGCTGATAGACGTGTTAATGTGTAAAAATCAGAATTGTATGTTGGACGTGTAATAAATCTAAGAAGATTAAGAAATAATAAATGACGGATAATGATGTAAGCTAATAGAAGATGGGTTTGAATGATTTCAGCGTTTATAACAGAGGGCTAAAGATGTTCTATCGAGGAATTTAACTAAAATAATTGCAATGGGAGTGGGAAGAAAAAAGATAGAGCAATGGTAATATGGCCTAAATCTCTGTAAACGCTTCTATAAAAAAATGAAGTTAATACGTCATGGAACCCATAATGATTGGTCTAATACTTACTGATGATGCTAATGCGGTAATGATTTATCCTTTTTTTTTTATATCACAGTTAGATGTGGCAACATCAGGAAAAGGAGGGCTTGGATCCTTCATTGGCATTTGCCTTATAAGTGCAGCTTTTGGAATTGCTGATGCACTGGCTCAAGGTGGGATGGTTGGTGATCTGGCCTTGATGCGTCCAGAATTTATTCAGGTTTCCTTCTGCTTTTACAATGGAATTTCTCTTCCCTCAAATCTGGATTTCCCAACTTTGTTCGTCATTTTTCTGCTATATTTTCTTCATTGTGAATGTGCAGTCATTCCTTGCGGGTTTGGCTGCATCTGGGGCCTTAACCTCTGCTTTGAGGTTGATTACTAAGGCTGCTTTTGAGCATAGTCATGATGGTCTCCGCAAGGGAGCCAGTATGTGAATATTACTTCTTCCTTATGTGCTGAATTTTTTCTTTTCAACAATGATATATTTCAAAGAAATTTACATATTTAGCATACAATTCTGGTGTATTTACAAATTATGCTCCTAAGTTTTATATTTACACGCATTGCACTATTGTGTTTTAAATCTATGCATGAAAAGGTGTATTTTACTTTTAATAGTGATCATAGTGCTATTTTTGATGTGATATTAAAGATTGGAGTGCTATGTGTGTAAATATGTAAATTTATACATAAGAATTGTGTAAAATTGCGTGCTATGTATGTAAATGCCCCATTATCATAAAGGGATTTAAGTATATACCACACAATTCTTGTTTACTTACATTTCTGGCACCAAAAAGCATCTGCATTTTTAATTCACATAAGAAATGCTATTAATATTGTTGAAATTCAGAATAATGCGGACTTATTTTATTGATTTGAAAATGAGGCATATATAACCCCTACATGTGTTCTAGAATAAGAAAGACAATGAAAAAAGAAATAACAAAAAAAGAAAGATATAGCTCATAATATCTCCAATTATTCAATTTATATTAATTATTTCTAGATAAAAGAAATAACATAAGTAGGAAAGGAAATAAATCCAATCCAATGAAATAAATCTAAAATAGGAAAGAAAAAAAAATTATATTAGGAAATAAATCTAATCCTCATAACTTTTAATAAGAATAAATTATTTTCCGATAAAAAATTTAATACTTCCGCTCAAGTTGAAACATGATTGAAAATCATATTCAACTTGAATTTGAAATAATCAAACAATAGGCAAGGACGATCCTGTGAGGTAGAACTTGAATTTTTGATCCCGTATAGTGGTCTTCATTGACTGCAGTTCCTGCAGTGTCTGTAGGTAGACGGAAAACTCCTATAGATAATGTTGCAAAGGGAAATAGACAATTGCGGTTGTTTTTACAGTAGTTCCTACAGTGTCTGTAGATAAGCAGAATACTAATGTTGTAGGGGAGTTTTTAGGGAAGTAGACAACTACGTTTTTCTTAAATGCAGTTCCTGTAGTGTATGTTGGTAGAGAGACGACTATTATGGGTAATGTTGTAGGAGGGTTTACAGGGAAGTAGACAATCTACAGGAAAAGCTGACTTCTAGTTGACTGTGGTTGATTTTAACTACAGTTCCTACAGTGTCTATAAGTAAACAGAATACTCCTACAATTAATATTGCAGGGGAGTTTGCAGGAAAGTAGACAATCTATAAAAAAAATTGCATGATATGATTTGACAGAAAAAAAGGAGAATAGGAAAAAGTGTTGAATGCTGGCCTTGCTGTGGGAAAAACTTTGCAGGAGAGCTTGATACATAAAAAAAGCTCTGGACGAGTGCCTGATGCAGGACAATCTCTGAAGAAGAGTCTGTTGTAGGAAAGATTACAGAGAAGGGTCTTATGCAGGAAAAAGTTTCGGAGGAGCGTTTGATTAGGAAAATTCTTTGGAGGGGGTTCTTCTGCAGGAAAAGCTATAGAGGAAAGCTTGTTGCAGGAAAAAGTTTTGGAGGAGACCTGATATAGGAAAAAGTTTCGGAGGAGACCTGCTGCAGAAAAAGATCCGGAGGAAGTTCTACCGAGGAAAGATTTCGGAGAAGAGCCTGATGCAGGAAACATTTTCGGAAGAGGGTCTGATGTAAAAAAAGGCTCCAAAGGAGGGTCTGCTACGGGAAGAATTCCGATAGAGGATCTTCTGTAGAAAAATGTTTCGAAGGATAACTTGTGACTTGATATAGGAAAAAGTTCGGAAGGAGGACCTGTTGTAGAAAAAACCTTCGGAGGAGGGCCTGATATAGGGAAAAGCTCTGGAGGAGGGTCTAATACAGGAAAAAGCTCCGGAGGAGGGTTTGATACAGGAAAAAACTCCGGAGAAGGGCCTATTGTTGGAAGAATTTCGGTGGAGGGCATGATGCCGAGAAAGCTCCCAAAGAGGGCCTGATATAGGAAAAATATTTGGAAGAATGCCTAACGCTGGAAAATATTCCGAAGGAGGCTTGCTACGGGAAAAACTCTAGATGATGGTCTACTGCGAGGAGTGCTTACAACAAGATACTTCCGGCTGCAGCACTGGAAGACTGATTTGTGCGGCCAGATACATAGCTCCTCCATACCCTGCATTCGCACCATAACTAGCAGAAACATACCCGGTCCTTGGAGCACCTAGAGGCCCGCTAACATAACCAGCGCCAAGTTCACCGGGATTTCCGTAGGCCCCGCTGTTTTTGTAACTGCCATGCTCTCCAAAACCAGCACCATTAGTAATCGTTCCATAACCATAAGCATGAGCATCATAACCCGACAAACCTTATGGATTATAATCAGCACCACTTGTTTGTGGCTGCATGTACTGACTGTCATCAACTCTGTTATCGTAAGATTTAGAGTTGGCGTTCGAGCCCTGTAAGACTGATATGTTCCACCACCCACGGATAGATTTGTGGTGTCATCTTTTGGAAGGCGCGTTTAACCTCCACTGCTTTCCCACCCACATCATGAAATTGCTTATGAACCAATCGATCAACACTCTTCTTAGTCGAAAGAGATGAAGCCGAGAACTCTAGACTGCTGCTTGTTCAGATCATACATCACGACGACATTAGTCATGGTGCCAAAAGATTCAAAGTATTTGCAGAACTCCTTGTCAGAAAGAGTGAGAGGAAGCCTTCTGACAAAAATCTTTTTTGTTTGAATGCTTCCACCACGCCGATGAAGAGCTTTCCCTGATCCAAATCCATCGATCTCCTTTCTCTATTTGTCTACCTAAATGAAGAAGATTGAAAAAGAGTTTGGTTTTTCCGAGGAGAACTCGGTGGCGGAGCGAAGATTATTGAGAGAGGGGAGAGAAATATCATGTTGATCTGAACAAGCAGCAGTCTAGAGTTCTCGGCTTCATCTCTTTCGACTAAGAAGAGTGTTGATCGATTGCTTATGAAGCCGAGAACTCTAAATTGCTTATGAACCATTCCTGTAGGGAGGATACGAGGAAGGAATTTCAGTGTACGCTAAGTAACCTGTCTCTGATATCATGTTGAAATTTAGATTAATGCGAAGTTATTTTACTGATATAAAAGAGGTATAAATGACCCTTACATGAATCCTAGAATAGGAAAGTAAAAAAAAGGAATAACAAGAAAGGAAATATATAACTCCTAATATCTCCATTTAATCAATGTATTTTAATTGTTCGGAGATAATAGAAATAACATAAAATAGGAAAACCTAAAATAGGAAAAGTAATAAATCCAATTCAAGGCAATCCAAGGAATTAAATCTAAAATAGGAAAGGAAATAAAGTTATATTAGGAAATAAATTTAATAGTCATAACTTGTAATAGGAATAAATTATTTTCTAGCATAACTTCTAACAAAAAATTTCTTGAAGTGAAATACGTCTTTTCTTGCATATATTTTGATTTGTTGAGATGCTGAAGTGTTATATAAGTCAATATCAAAGTGCAGAATGTTAAAAATGCAGATACATATAAATTGTGTGGTATGCATGTAAATCCCCCTATATTTTACTATCATTTTTTATCATAACCTTCGATTGAACTGCTTCCCTGCAGTGATTTTCTTAGCCATTGCATCATTTCTGGAGCTTCTTTGTGTTCTGCTATATGCGTATGTCTTTCCGAAATTACCAATCGTAAAGTACTATCGCTCGAAAGCGGCTTCTGAAGGATCAAAAACAGTTTCAGCAGATCTTGCAGCGGCTGGCATCCAACCACAGAGCAAATCAAATGTGCGTGTGCATTCACCCTTGTCTCATTTGATTCGTTGTATTAATCTGAACTTGTTTTGCTATTAAACTTTATAGAGAAAAGTGTTAGAATAATTCTCAACTCTTTGCATGTGGCAATTTAGTTCCGGAGTCTAAAATTTTGTCCTCAAGTTCTTTTAATATAGGATGAAATTGTCCCCACGAAATATTATTCAAACCCCAATTTAAAGTATCTGGTGACTAATTTGTCACTTTTATACACTCTAGACTAAAATGACCCCATGTAAATAACCGGAGGACTCGGAAATTTCACTCAAACTCTATAATTGGGTATACTGTATGTGATTCAGGTTGAAGAGGATCCAAAGCAATTAGAACGTATGACTATCAAGCAGCTTTTAATGCAGAACCTGGATTATGGATTGGACTTGTTTCTTATATATGTTCTAACACTCTCTATTTTTCCTGGCTTTTTGTCTGAGGACACTTCCATCCACAAACTTGGTTCATGGTATGCTTTTTTCTATTGTATACTTTTTGGATGTGTTTACTTCTATATATATATGAATACATGAATTTATTTTAATCTCATTTTCAGGTATTCTCTTGTTTTAATTGCAA